ATTTTAATTTTTTACGTCAAATTATAACTAGACGTTATTTACCTAAAAATATTCGAATATGCACTTAAATTGTTTTTAAAAATATTATATTCCGTGAAATTATATTCTAATATTAGACACGGAGAGTTTAAATTTAGGCAATGCTGATTAATTTTGTGATAATAGTTCAATGGTAAACACTTAAAGTGGTCATGGTAACTACACGTTCAAGGATATTTTATGATATGTTCTGCTTATCTAGATAACTAAATAAGTGCAAATATTTATTACACAGCATAGATATTTAGAAGCACAGTTCTACAACTTCGGACTATTAGATATCACGATAGTACCTATATAATATTTTTTTGCTTTCAACAACATTTCGGTTAGGTGTTTAAAATGAGCGCTTAATTAGATGTCCTCCGTGTGAAGGAAACAGTGATTTCCAGTAGAACTTAAGTATCTTTCAGGGTAGAATTATCGTTGCTCAGAGAGCCGACCGCTTACTCTTTTGCCTTCTCTCCAGACCATTTTTTGTCCCCTTCAGGCTTAACCACAATACAAAGTGGACACAAGGAGGTTGTGGCGTAAGTTCATGTTTTTAAGAGGCTTTACAATTTGTCACCCATAAGGCTAGTAGTTAAAAAAGGGGGTTAAGGAGGAGGGGGCAGACCAGAATGAGACTGCCAGTAGCCCATAACAACAAAAGAGGTTTCACGGAAGGGGGATCACAGCCTTATGCAGTGAGAAAGGTGGGAAAGGGGGGGGGGGGTGGAGGGAGTAAGAAGTTTCCAAGTCAGGGGGATAGAGAGGGTTGTGTAACAAGTGACAAGCCAAGAAAATTAGATAAATTGTCTTCGGGTATTTATGACTAGTAGCAGAAGAGAAAGTCTGTTAGAATCTCATTTTGGCGTGAAAATTGAACTAGCTGGTACTCTGTGCAATAAGCGCATATTTTTACTGAAAATAGAATTTAACCATTGTTTTGTCAAAAATCTGGTGGAAATAGAAACCAAACTCGAGTTTATCATCATGAGAAAGTTTTACTGATTTTTTTGCTATACTTAACTGAAATATGATCTGAATAATATAGAGCATAGTCGTTGTAAATGACTGAAAAAGAGTCGATTTCAAAATAAAAAAAACGTTTTCAATTTAATCTTTGTGATCTCTTTGCAAAAACTAATATGGAGAAGGAATCACTATAATTGTATTGAGCGATTTCATTAATAAAGCAGGTAAAACAATATTGGGGTAAAATAATGCGACGTGGGAGAGATTGACTTTGTCGAATTCCCGCCAACCGAAACTTCCCCTGAAGGCGAAATAGGAAGAAGATGATAAGCGTAAGTTAGATATCTTAACACAATTTAACTGTTAATATCTATTTTCTCTCTCTTAACAGGCTCGAAAATAATGTAATAATGTAGGAAGAGGATAAAGAAGGTCAAAATGGGTTGAAATTTAATTTATATTAAATGGCAGGCTTTATGATAGTTATCATTAGCCCTTTAGTTGACTTCAGGCTTCACAGTGGGAGAGGAACATCAAAGTGAACAAAGTCGAAAGGTGGGGGGGGGGGGGGGGGTGAACAGAAGAGTGTTTTACAGATGCAAAAGAGACAGACACAAAGGTAGATGAAAGGTGAGGTAAGTACTGTGAAAGTGGTCGAATATGACATACAGTGGGGTCATGATAGCTTGAACTCAGAAGTCAACTGCCGGTTTATACACTTTTTTGCCGTATGAGTATACGTTGCCCAGGGTGCACCACGTGGAGGTAAGTCTACCGCACACCCTGGGTTGAAATTTGAAATGCAGCAATAAATTGTTCAAGCAAGTGACCAGTAATGTGCTATGCAATTAAATTTTCACCTAAATGCGTAGCTTTTTGCAACCAAAATTGACAAAATGTACCAAAATTTCAAATACTGTTTTATATTTACTATAAAATTTTTCAGGACAATTTGTTAAATATTTATCCATAATTCTAACGTTTTGAGAACTGGGTATAAAGACTTGGAGGGCTAAGACATCAAATCGTGTACTTTATTTTATCGAATGCACTCTTAGGATAGAAGAATGGGATGCACTTGAAGACCATGTAATCTGACAAATGAATCTTGGATATTACAGTACTTACATTTTGCACTTATTTATTTATTGAAGCCAATTCTAAATGTTTGCCAAATCAACGGCTTTGCGATAATTCTCCTCTTACCTTTTTTTCGATGTTTTCAAACCTAGAATATTCGCATTCACCAAATTTCACGGTGCTTGCGTGACAGATGATTCTTCAAAATTGTTTAATCACGTTCCTAATTTCTAAAACTAAATCTCGTTTCATTTAATTATCGGTTCATCATTTTTTGCCTATTACCATTATCTCCATTAAACCTTCTTTCCCTTCGTTAACAGTCATCACTAATTTTAAAATAGTTAAAATTATAAACGATTCCTTAACCGTCTAATCGTTTTCATTTTTACTTCGTTATTAAAAGCACGCGTTAACTGCATGATTTCAGGCGTTTTCTTTAATTTCCGAAATTCGTAGCACTGGAAATCAATCACATCGTTTGATATCGATTGAGTAGAACTTATCAACCCCACTAAGGTAATAGTCAACAACATTTTATTTATGTAGTATCTGCAACCCAGGAACATCTCCGATGAGTAACTCCCAATAATCTAAACTATTTCCCTATTTGAAATTAACCATTCAGCTAGTCATCCACATCCTTGGTTCGCCCTCTTTAAGTAAGAATCATTGTGATTACCAACTTAATAGACATTCACGTTCACCACTATACCACTGGCGAGTTAATAATGAAGGCAAGTATCAATTTATGTCTTCTTTCTGGATTTGTTTTTGGTAAAGCAGAAACTTTACATTAGCATTTCTTTCTACATTCCCCCTATCATTATGTTATTTTACGGATTTCTCCGACACCGGTTGTTTATATTGCTGAGTATTATGTGCTTCATAATAAGGTTAAATCAACTGCAAAGGTAATTAGCAAAGTATTAAACCAAAGTCAAGTAAATAATATCGCATAACTGTCCACCTGTCCAACGACCTTTAATTCCCAGCTCTTGTACACTGAAGGAAAAGGCGGCTTTACACCCTCTATTGGCTAATTCACGCTTTTTCCAAATTGCGACTAAGGACGCTAACATAGTAATGTGTAATTAGGACAATTCGTTTTGTGTTTTACTAATTCAGTGCATTAATTAAATTGTTTAGCTAATTAAAAGACAAGAAGGAATTAAAATAAAATTATACAACTGAATTTCTAATAGATGTGAACTACCACTGCGAGAAAATGTTCAAACATTCTGCACGTAGTAGCAATTTGTATACCCTACATATAATTATAAATTTCCAAATAAAATGACTATTAGAGGTAGCAAATTGTCTTGGCCCTCGTGTGTTTTAGCTATATCAGCCGCCGAGCAAACACATTTTGATATTGAACCGCTTCTAGATGCTTGTGTTGACTTCTATTTCCTGTTTATTTAAAGCCCAAAGCATGACGTCTATACAAAAAGAATAGTACTGCAATAAAACATGAGTTTAAGAAAGGAGAAATTTTGGGGTTCATGAATAAAAAGGAATTTTACAAAAGGTGACCTTTGGGTTTCGATTGCACCCTATTGTTCATTTTTCCCATATAATCGACTGTACGAATTTTATGATTCCGGGATTTAACCACTAAGACTTAAATGAATTGTAATTCATGCAGTACTAAGCTTATTGTGAAATCAACTAATGCGCAAGGGGCGCCAGCCTCCTCAGATGCTCTTTTACAATAGCAAAAGGAATAAATAATGCGATAAAACCACTCTGAATTTCACCATTTCTAATTGAATTCTTCAACCAAATCCTCTAACTACTATGTTTTATTAAATGTCAAATTGTGCCTGATTACCATAAGTAGGGCGAAATATTTAGTCGAAAATTTAATTCTCCCACTGAGCGCGATTGAAAAGAGAAATAGTACACATTTTAGATTGCATGAGTATGGGTCTGTCGTTCCAAAGAATTGAGTATCCTGGGCTCATATATAACGCTTTCAGACAACATGAACATTGTTTTTTTTCATTTTTTACGGTTTATTTCATGTTTAACTTAGTTCGATTTTGTTTTATATTGCATAATGGCGTTTCTTATATTATCTACTTTATAAATAAAAGTAGGAAATGCATTATAAAACTGCCGAAATCCCATATAATACTTTTGACAATAATGGTAGTATATAATGATGTAAATGACACCTAATGGCAACTAGTGTTTATTTCATTCCATTTGTTAGATTTTTACTTTGTTGGTTTCGAAAGACGCAATTTAATTTCTAGTATCGTATCCACAATTTCAAACAAACCCAATATTTCAAAAATACGTCAAGTGATAACAAATTTGTTTGAAAGAATTTCACACATCTGAAATTAGTGAAAATCTTGATTACGAATATAAATATCCCTGTTATTTTTGGTTCACATACATGAGAAGACGTCCCTAAATAATGAATGTAATTGAGAATAGTTTTCACCTGTGGTTAGCGATTAATCCTTAAGCCAATCTTCATACCGACTTTGGAGGAAAGCTTGATTAAAAATTATAAAGCGGTAAAAAACGTATAAAGCAATCTTGAAAAGTTGATCATTGAGATGAGATATTGTTATTTGTTTTCTTTGATATCCTCTTGTAAATAAATTCAAAATTTGTGAAGGAACCATCTTACTAAGCAAAATGTGCAATAATTACCGCGAACTTAAAATTCGTTGATCACGACCGACTTAAGGTCTAAAACGTGAAATATATACGAGGATTTTAGTGGTATATAAAAAATAATACATAAATTAATAATTACAGCTTAATTGAAACGCGTATTTTATTAAAAAATATTTTGCGATTTTATATTGATTGCTAATGAAGAAAAAAATTAAGGATTAGAAAATGGAAGCTTAACACTTTTAATAGACCAAAGTTGACGTGTCAAATTTGAGTGTACCTGCGAGATGGTTTGTTTTTTATCACATTAACATTAAAATTATTAGAATTTCTTTCGATTCGTTCCACGTTTGAGTCCCACATTCATCGCTAGAGGCATATCGACTTCCCAAAATCGTTTTGCAGATCTCAACCTTACTTTTGCCTGTCCTCGTTCCGTTTTCTATAATGCAACTAATGTTAAGCAGGTAGATGTTCCCGGTAGCACCAGCGCTTTTGGTATTCTCCCGGAGCATGTTCCCACTATTTCAACTCTCCGTCCAGGTGTAGTTACAGTTTATGAAGAAAACGGATCTCTTAAGAAATTCTTTGGTAAGTTTAATTTCCTATGATTGTAAAATGTTAGTATATTTTATAATTTCATATTTTTTTATATTTTTTAGTAAGCAGTGGTATAGTCACGGTGAATTCTGACTCCAGTGTTCAAGTTCTAGTAGAAGAATGTTCTCCTCTGGAAAGCATTGACCCTCAACTTGTTCGTGATAATTTAGCTAAAGCCCAATCCCAACTTTCGTCCGCTTCTGATGAGCAAAAGAAAGTTGAAGCCCAAATTATGGTCGAAGCTTATGAAAGCATGCTTAATGCTTTGTAATTAAATGTAGACACTATTTGTTATTAATAGTTAATTATATATTCATCGAGCCCTTAGACCATAACTTATATTGTTGTTTTGGTATTCGATTATTGGTACTTTAGCTCTTTCATTTTTCAATTTCTTCACGGTGACCTTTCTATTATGAATTTAAATTTAATCCTCGCTTCAGTTGTGATTTACGAGCTTTATTGGTTTTAAACGATGCTTGTTTCCGAATTTTGCTAATGGTTGGCCTAACTAATTAGTGCTGACTTGTTAGAGAATTTGTGAAATGTAAGTTTCTCATCAAATATGGGTCCGATATTTCTTCGCGTTACCCACCTAAAGTGTCCTTTATACTTTCTTTATTAAACTCAGGAGCCTGTACGATTACTAAAGAGTCTCGCGAATTATGTTGAAGTTCATGAATTACTCATTCCGATTAGACGATACGCAAGTGGGGCATTGAGCGTAGGTGATGTGTTTAACGTATTCATGTTCTATACTAGTTACATTTTGTCAATTTTTTGTTGTTTGGTTTTGACTGAGTGTTCATTTCGGGATTTCAACAGGATCTGTGCTTTTTGGCTCACGAACAAGAGGCTCTCATAGGAGACTCGGAAATGCTTTATGGATATACACACTGAACATATTACCACAGAGTATTAATAAAATGTAATATTTTATTGTTTTGCGCTCAGGAAATCTTTGTGCATGCTTAAGCTATGTTGTGAGTAACCAGTTTTCCTTATTTGTATTGATTAGAAGATGGCAAGAATAGAATTTAACTTAAGCTATCGGGGTGCAGGTATCTTCGTGATCATTATGCCCTTTTATTGCAACATTATCCTGGTAACGCAATTAATCTCGCTTTGATAATAGAAGGCCCGGCGGTAGCCGTCATGAGCAGTCTTAGCTTGTTTCTATGGGAACTGGATAGGCCAGTGGAACGAATTATCAGCATAAACTGCGCTCCATCTCCTCTACGTCATCCAGCAAACCCTAACCTTGAAACGAGCTTACGCACTTACACCCACTGGAACGTACAGCATAACCCAGAGCAGATTCATGATGACTTTCTTTATTATTCTATGTGCAACTACCGCAAACACAAATAGGAGCGAAATTCAGATTTACAATAGCCCATTCCTGGCAGACATTGAACACTGGATTATATGATACAACTGTCAACATAAGCAATGACTTTCAAGAGCGAAGGATTTGTTGGGTAACCTGAACGATTTTCTCTGATGAAAACGGCTTAAGAGCCTTTGAAATGCGATCTAAAAATAAAATAATGAATCTGAAGATTAATTCTTTAGAGAAAATGATGGGATGAAAATAGACTTGCCGGAAGTGCATTCTAATAAGCGCTCGCTTTTCCAACTAATGGATATCAATTCACAAATTCTAATAAGGCCTAAGTCTGATAATTTGCATTTGACAGTTCCGAAGCGCTTTAATAGCGTTTCAATTTCACTGGGGAATTTCAGCCTCCACATAATGGGATGCAAATCAGGAATAATTCCGCTTGAACCTCGGATTAAGTTGGCTCTATTCAAAGGCACTGCCAAATTTTCAAGTATGATACAGTGGATTTCAGAGATTAGGGATGCCGCGGATTCACTCAGATCCTTGCAATTTGAGGAGAGGATTGTAAGCCATGCAAGTCCGCGAACAGGATGCCATGCTTCGGATAGTAAAAGTGGCCAATCCTGACCTTTGACCTTCGGCTTATCGAGAAATCGGGGTGGATTAACAGAGAAATAAGCCTTCCAATCAAATGATGCCCAGTCCTGACGAACTGACTGTAAATGGTTCCATTTTAACCAAATTATTAAAATTTCCAGAACCATTGGTGGTGGGTAAAATTCAACTTCATCTAGCAGATAATAAAGATAAAAATTCGTCGTACCTTGAAGAAACGGTGCAGAATAAACCAGTGTAGCACCAGAAACTAGAGCTGAAACAAGAGGAGGGGAAAGACGGAGAAGATTGATAAAAGGTTTTTCAAACACACTGACATCAGAAAAATTCCCGCTTTCACGAAGATTCTTGCAAACCTCCTGCATTCCTTTAACAGTAAGAAGACTCTCAAAGACTTTTCTGATAAAATTCGATACAGGACGTGTGGCTTCAAATAGCCTTTCAGTAGAAAGAACATTGTCTTTGGCAGAAGAAATGGACTGACAAATAATTAAAATCTGACCCTTAGTTTGAAAGAGTATAAATGAACGTAGCTTCTTATTACCTTTAACCAAATAGCAATTAAATCTAATAATGGAGCCAAGCCAACGCATATGGCCAATTCCGTTAAGCCAATCAAGAAACGTTCCCTAACCGGATTGACATTAAATCCACAAGGAAATAGCAAATGAAAGGCCATTCGGCGAGCGTTTTCATCGCACGATGTCGCAAAATGATCAGCAAATGCATCTAAAAGCTCGAGAAACTGTAATTCATTTGGTAATTCTGATTTCACAAGAAAAAGTGAATCAAGTGCGTGCTGTATAGTTTCGAAATTAATAGAATTGTTTTGGCAAGCGCACTCGAATTTCTTTAGCTCTTCCTTACACACTGCAGCAAGAGTCATCTGGCTTTATAGGTTTGACGTAAATTTACCCGGAATAGCCCATGCTAATCAAGGTTGTACATTGAGGATACGCGATTAATCAAACAGAAAAGTCGCTTTAAAACCTTTTTATAACTATGATGGTTATATGAAACTTGAGAATGCTTTAAATTTTTGCAAGGGGTACCGAGGTTGAAGGGAATGGGCTAACATCCTGCTTGATTTGTCACCACTGTCTAACCCAGAGAAAGTTTACAAAATGATTTCCTGAGTGGTCTTAGGAATTATTACTTATAAAGAGTGAAGTACCTCACTAAAAGTTGCTAAATATCCATTTGATATTCATTTAATAAAATAGTTGGCATTCTTTGGTTCTATTTGGTTGGTTTATAGTTAATTAAACCAATATTAATATCGATTCAGTTGGTATATCTTTCGTTTTTGTATTCATAAATTAAATTTTTTGCTTACAATTTAGGAGCTAAATTGCATACGATAGTTTGATGAATAATATGAGTTTTACAGCAAGTGATAACAAGATTGAGGTCAAAATTTTCAAGACCGATTACTAAGATTCTACTTTGAATTCATTTGTCTGGTTAAATTACTTTTCTTCCAATTTCAAAATAGAGATGATTTCAATTGATATGACTAAAGCGTATTTCAGAATGACAACTATAGCATTAAGCACTAAATCAATTTTAAAATTTATGATATTATTTAAATCGATATAATTTATATATTTATTATCAACTTCATGTGATTTTTACATAGGTTTCTAATTATATATTTTAACTAGTTTTGTGCTATTTGTTCATAAATGGGCTTGTCGCGGATCTCTCTGCTCTGTTACACTCGATTGTCCCTGCCATCTGTCGCATAAGCCAGAATGCGATCTGCTCTGGTGAATCAGGAACTTATTGAAAATGGAAAAACTTCGTTTCATGTTCCTAGAGAGTACGTATGTGGTGCAGTCGCTTCGATGACGAATTTGATTATAGTCTTTCCTCTTCACAAAACTGTGTTTTTTCAGCAACTTGAAGGTGTTCGTTTTTCAGCAGCATTTGCAAGGTTACGGTTGGAAGGTCTTACTCATCTGTTTCGAGGCCTTCTTCCTCCTCTCCTTCAACGATCCACTTCTGCATCTGTGATGTTCGGCTTTCAAAGTCAGTCCCAACGTTTTCTTAACAGAAATGAAGCAACAGTGAAACTATCACCCTATCTAAAGACCATAATTTCTGCAACAATGGCTGGGTCTCTTGAAGCCGCTTTAACTCCATTCGAGAGAGTTCAAACCCTTCTCCAATCTTCAAATAATTCATTGTTGTATAAAAATACCTCTCGCGCGTTATATAGTCTTCTAAAATCTCATGGAATTCACGAACTTTATCGAGGCTGTACTCCTATTTTTCTCCGAAACTGTATTGGTAATATTTTTTATTTCGTTGGAAAGGATAGACTTATGGAGAGTGGTCAATACCAGGATCTGCCCTCAGGCCAACGACATTTGACGGACTTTTTGATTGGTGGTTTCCTAGGATCAACAATCGGTGTAATTATATACCCTCTAAATGTCGCTAAATGTCAGATGCAATCCGTTGTAGGAACAAAATTTACTAGTCTCAGGTCTTCGGTGTTGACTTTACTTAACGAAAGACAACACGTGAAGATTAGACGTCTCTACAGCGGACTTCCAGCAAATGTCGGTCGATCCCTTCTCTCTTGGGGCATCATTACTATGGTCTATGAGTGGCTTCTCACTTTGTAAAAATGTGGTGGAATCAATTCATTGTTGATTCTCGTGTATAGTGCGCCTAGTCTGATTTCGAAATTTCCCTTTATATTTTATAATAAATTATTTTTTGAAGTGGAAATTTGCTCTCCTAAACCGTATGTTTCTCCGTTGATTAACTGTCATGCGCCTTACATTTTGAGTGTTATTCTTGTATTGAACTGGGGGCTTCAGTTAGGGTTACATTTATTTCTCTAATAGAACAATTGGCGTAGTCAGAGGTGTCACGATTTTGATGTGCATTGTGACATAAACAAATAGAGAAATGTTCAGTCTCAACCAGATAAAAAGGGGGTCAAGCAGAATTGGAGTTTCTCACCACCTGGAGAGGTGTTTGTGCACGACTACCTTCAAGCGAGCCCATCTTGAGGTAAAAGCTCATAAGCTATCGATTATCACCTAGTGAGAGGAAGGATCAAACGTATTGTTTAAACCTGGCTGATAAATGGAGTGGCTATTCTAGTTTCTCTCCAGAGAGATTCTATAATATTCTCCCTCCTATCAATTTGGTCATTGGAAGCCAATTTTGAAATTGGAGATGTTATTACCGTGCTCGAAGGTCAAAGCTCAATCTGATAGTTTCGGTCTTCGGTGCTGTGTTGGATAAGGCGATATGAGAGGCGACTTTCTCACCATAGTACTCACGTGTCCTTAGTTATATGTCGAATGATATATGTTGAATAAATTATGGCCCGATACGTAGAAAATGGCTACGTAGTAGTTGGGAAAGTCTTCTGAGCGTAGTTGATGTACCCTCTTATAACATTTTGCCAATTAGCCTAATGATTGTTGTCATATTAGACTTTGTTTTACCTGACAATAAATTATATTTCTATCCCCCCCCCCCCCGAGTCATTTGATCGCAAAAAAATTGAATTAAGATATTGTACTTATCTCGATTCTACGAGGATACTTTAGTACACAATTCATTAACTCTTAATTGGGATAAAAGAACTCATTTCGAAATAAGAAAAAGAATTGAGTTGGATCCCTAGTGTATTGATTGATTGATTGATTGACTGAAAGGGTTGAAATGGGAAAGAAGAAAGAGAGTGGGTAGATGAAAGCTGCTAGACATGCCACGAGTGCATACGAGTTAGAGAGCAATTAAGAGTGTGAAGTAGCCTAAGTGCCAGAATCTCATCTATTAATCTACGTGCATGTACTCATTCCTGAAAGAGTTTCAACTAGTTTGTGGGTTAAGAACACAATTAAATGATATGTGAGACGCCGCTGTGTGTGCGCACAAGCCACAAACCAACTTTTGCATTATTTTTATCTTGCTTATTTCTAAAATAGCATAATTGGGCATGGATTTCCGAAGTAGCTATTTAGACTTTAAACACAGTTTCCTTGGTGGACAAAGTGTTCCCTTGTTGGTCTGACTTACATGAGCTGTAAACTATCGCTTATTATTATCAAGTCGCAGTGTAGCTATAATGTCAGTAGGTGCGATTCAAGTTAATGGATAAATTTGGCAGAAGTAATATAAAAGGGGTAACTGAATATGAATAAGTAAATGTTTCTGTGATGAAAAAAATGGTTTATTCCTATTATCGCCAAAACGAAAATACAAAGACTTCATTTCACCTACATTTCCACACTACGAGAAAGTGGGGACTCACCAGAAGATGTTGAAGAATGGAATGGGCAGAATTGAGACCTGAGGAGGACGGTCCTTTACCAATGTGGTATGAAGATAGTGAAATCCACCACGCAAAGAACTAATGAATTATTCATATATCCCACCTAAGTAATTGTAATATAGGCATAACATTTCGTACTGGAAAGATATAGTACAGAATATTAATAGTAATCATCAAACCACGGCAACCATTACAAAGTGGAAACAGAATCAGAAGACAACAAATGAAACTAAAATTTAAAATTAAAGCAATGAAATAAAAATTCAATCAAATCAACATAGGGCACCATATATACGAAGTGGGATCGGTGTGCGATAGACTTATCTCCACGTGGTGCATCCTGGACAACGTATACTCATACGGCAAAGCAAGTCTATTAACTGGCAGTTAACTTCTGATTTCAAACTACCATCACTCCACTGTATATCTTATTCGACCCCTTTCACAGTACTCATCTTACCTTTTTCTACTTTTGTGTCTGTCTCTTTTACATCTTTGAAACACTCTTCTGTCCCCCCCCCTCTCACGACTTTTTTCACTTTAATGTTCCCCCCCTATGAAGCCTGAAGTCAACTAAAGGGCTAATGATAACTATCGAAGTGGGATGAAATCAAACTACTGCCACATTTGGTTGACTTACATCTTTCTATTTCATTCCATTCTGGTAGAAATAATGTCAAGCTGCAAAGAGATCTTATTGAAAGATTTAAAAATAGCGCATAAAGTTTATCCCAGATCCTAAATAATATCTCTCTGTACCTGTCCCCAAAATGTTTTGCTCCACGATGGAATAGGTATTTTGGATGTTGCTGTAGGTTTGTCTGATCAGAATGAACATGGAGATCTACGAATTGGCTCTACAAGTGCTTCATTGCGCCGTGAAAATAAAGCCACCCACCGTTATGTAGCATAAATAACTTTACTTTGTACTAGTTTCAAATTTGGTTATCTTAAAGGGGGCAAGTTCAGATTTCTCGTTAATATTTATGTTCCTTGATCTCCATGCTACATCAAGATTCAACTCAAACATCTTTTACTCCTAGAAAAGGAACTAATATCCATGGTTCATGACCTTGTTAACGAGTATAACACGTTCAGATCAAAATTTCAAAATTTAGTCCCTATTAAATAATTCAATCCCATCCGATTGACAGAAGAAAGCGAAGCCTGACAGACAAATAGTCTCGCATCAACGAATTAAAGAGAACTTCGGTGGAGAATGCAACTGTTGTAGTAATGTTGACCAAGTCCCTCATTCTACTATTCCTAACCAGTTTTTGAAACCAGTTTCCTTCAGGACTCATCCAAACTTACAACTTCTTAACGCACAAAGATGTGATATACATTACGGTGACAAATTTCCGTTCGAAATAGTCCGTTTTATATATGCATAAATGGTGCAGATCAGCCCATGTAGTTCACTTATCAGTCTGGGGCAAAATATCCCAGATTAGTGGATATTGTAGATATTTCAACTACTCTCTATTGTTTCATAAATAAGCTCCTTAAGATTACTTTAGAATATCTTGAAGATTTTTATATGTTGCGAATTAGTGAAAGTATAGGTGGAAAGTGGTAGAGATTTTTGAGACGCGTCATCGATTGAAAGCATGCCAGGATTTGGAGTGTGCGACCGTACGCCTAGAACACTGCTCAGAGATATTTAGCCATTAATGTTCACTCAAATTATGTTCGAATTATTTGATAACCATTCGCATTTACCTATTTGTTCTGTGTAATACGCTTTCTTCCTCCCTAGCTTCACTGTACCTTAGCTAGTTCAGATATAGGAGATACTGCTATAGAGAGATTTCTGAGTCGGCCAAGGCTTTAGTAGCGCAGCAACCCGCTTATATATTTCAATTTGAAAATTTCAAGTTGTTTATGCAAATCTACATTTTTAACATCTGCTTTCAACTTTCTCTAATTAGGGATATCACTATTGCTTTAAAATTTTATGTTTTACCTGCCTTACTATTCATGAACTTATTCAATGATAAATAACCTTTAACAGTGAGTAAATTCGTTAGACTTTTGGTCATACTGATTTTACCAATATTGAACAAATAATCTATCAATTTGTTCTTTTGAAGACTGATTTTTGGCTTAAAGATACAGTATCACTCAGAATGATAATTGCGTCGAACAAAAAATTCATTCATTCCTGTTCATGGTGATCTAAACGAATAAATTTTAAAGATAACGATACGCTTAACCCAGATTCTAAACAAGAGAAATACGACTTTGCATAAGAAATAATAGCAAATATTACTTTTATTTATTATTTTCATACATATAGTTCCCAATCCTTCATGCACTAAAGCCCACAGGAGCAGATAGTTGGTTAGTATTGTGCTATTCGTCTGTCTCATTAAAATGACTCTTCCTCAAGTTGTAGCTGAATTTTTTATTTTCCAAACTGGCCATGAAAGTGAAGAGGAGGTAATTTATTTGCTATTATTGGTTTCCTTTGAATTTCGACTACAAATATAGTTATTTAAATTCGCTTTAGGAGAAGCAGAAGATCATATATTTTTACCCTGCCGGAAAATCACAAGACTATCAGCTATCAGTTATTGGACTGTGTGAAGCCTTATTATCTTTCTCTAGCTTCTTTTCAACGTCGTGTACGCTATTACACACACTTAATGGAAAGCGGTGCTTTCACCAGATATCCGAAGATATTTGGGCTGTTATGGTAATTACTTCTTCATTGGAGATTCTAGTTCTAAAAATTCGATTCTACAATTTTTGCTTATTGGTATTTTAGAACGTAGTACTTGTCAAATCTGCTGCTTTGCCTCATGGTTTCGAGACTTGTGAAAGCATTATCGATGACAATATAATTTCTCAGAAACTCACATTACTTTGTGAGAGATTTGAAGTAAGTTGTCTATTTTTTATTATTGTATTTCATAGTTAATTTACGGTCCGATGTCTCCGAAATCAAAGGACGAGTTAGCCCGTTGGCGTGATAATGCAATGGAATTTTTTGATCGAGTAAGCTATTCTTTTAATACTTTTACTGTACATCTATTTAGGAGTTGGTTATGCTTGATCTTAGTTTCCATGACATTCCTGATATTATAAATGCCATTCAACGGAAGTTCTGTAGCCCTAAAGGCCTCTTGCGTTTGGATAATATCGGGACTAAAATTCAACTCACTTGCCAATATCCTAACACTGATATTGCAATATTCTACGATTCTCACTTGGCATGGTAAGTTAATATTTTACCATGTTTGAGACCTTTCTACTGATGTTTTACGTGTATGATTTATTGAATATTTTGTGTTTAGTATCGTAATCAACAGTGTATTTGGAGCAATAGGAACCAATTCAGTAATTTATGGGCTTGTTTTATTTATCTTACGATCAATTTTTGGTGATATTGTCTAACAAGCTTCTGATTAGAGAACATTTAACTTGAATAAGAAACGTAATTGTCAGGTCACAAGTTCGATATTTTTCGTCGGTCCTACAATAAATGCTATGACTAGGTTTATTTTTTGTCGAACTATTCTTCAGTGTAATTTTATATCGTATACCCAACATACGAGGTTAGCATCCGAGCAATGAAAGAAAAGATTTTTGGTGAAGAAGGATGGCTGACGAATCTCGTCACTTGTACTGGAAATAGCCATGCGGCTTTACCCAGTAACTTATTAACTTAAATCATTATTTAATCAGTTTCGTTGCTTCATACATCTATAATGTTTATTGTACTCGAAGTGAGTTATTTTAAAACGGTTATATTTGTTGCTATTGATGAAGTCATTTCGATGTGTCTAATTTTTCCATATATTGATATAATTTGAAAGCATACATTCATTCAACTTATCTCCTATATTCGAGGCGAAATGGCTTCCATTAATTTATAATCTGTCTATATTAATGGTGGATTTTAGATTAAAGCAGATTACCTTGAACCCCAGCATTTATTCAATCGAGGCGTCTTAGTTCCCGAACTAAATCACCCGAAATGCTGGCCATTGAAAAGATGGCAAAAATTAAGTAAAACAATAGAAACCCACTTCTATTGCACCCTAAACTGAATGCTTTACTTCATTTGAAGTGATAAGCTTGTAGCTGTCAGCAGAATCTAATAAATTTTCTGCTTTTTAAAATAGATTTATTTTTGAATTTTAATTGAAGGTCCTCTTTGGTCCCAAAAAACTTTCTTCCGGTATTACGGTTTATTGTCTCGGATTTGCTCAGTCTTCCTCCTGACCTTGACCTAGCTACGATATCTCCAAAGGCACCTCATATGGGAAGGTAAGTATTATATATTTCATCAGTAAAAATTGGGTATGGTAGTATTTATCATGCTGGGTAATCAGAGCAGAGCTGGGTAGGTAAGCTCTAAGTATTAACTTTAAATTATTTACATTTTCAGTGACACCGGGCATTTATCTGTTGTACCTTAATTATATAGGCATCTGAACTAGGCAAGTCTTATTTTGAATTACTTCGATTCTAACTTTGGTTATACTAATCTCATTTGCAAAAGTTGTTCATTTTTTTAATCATGCAATTGATAAATCGAATAAAAAAACCGTGTGATGCTAGTGGGAGGGAGGCGGTGTAACCCGTTGGTACTTGGGTATAACTAATACGCGTTTAAATTACTTTTACAATGGATATTGGTCGTGATTACTTGGTTCTAATTCAAGTAATTTCAGTCATCGATGTACCAATTGATTATTTTTTTTATTTTCTTCTCAATCATTATACTCTAAGGTTCTTAACTGGTCTACCAAATATGGAAAATGACCTCTGTCCACCACAGGGCCCCGTTCCTCTCCTCTATCGACGACTTCCTGATTCAACTTCCCAACGCATCCAAGTCGTGGTATATCGCGCTCTGAGACTGTCTGTCTGCTTATTCATTGATGGTAGGAACTGTTTGCAATATAAGCATTTGACAACTTGTGGCTTAATAACTAATTTAGACATCGGTACATCGCTTGCGGTTCATGGTGCAATGTCTGTCTATTTAACCTATTACTCATGATATCTGACCTTAATCGAATGCATAAACAATAATCGGTTTTCAAGCTGGTAGACAATTTTCCTTTGCATTTGCTTAGCTCCATCTATATACATATATTTTAGTCCACATGTCAAGGTCCCCATGTCATTCCCACAGGTCGTTAGAAATTTCCTTTCATTCAATCTAAACAATAAGCTGTTTCATTACAATTCATTTAACCACCTTTATCACTGTTTTGATTGTTACTTGAAACATGTTTATTTTAACCTCGGAAATTCTCCAGCGAAGCACAATCTTGACAAAGAGTTCTTTCAGTCCTTCGACTCAGCTTATGGGAGTGCATTGACAGATCTTTCCTGTACTCTGGATACGGATCGTAATCCTAAGTAAGCAAAAACAATTCCACTTGCCTACTTTTGTCATACATTTTTTATCGTCAGTACCATTAATTTGACATCAATCTAGTGGAGCATTTTTCTTCTAGTTAATGCGTCACTGGTCAGAAAATGAACTAGTGTAGTGTACAGAGAGGTAAAGGATATGACGCTTTGTCCCTCCTACTCGAATTTTCATTTTTGGGAATCACATTGCCACTAAGCAACATAATTTTGATTTGACTCTGTTCTTGACCCCTCAACTATTTAACTATTCATTTGAAATTTGGCCATAGTTATAAAAATATCTGTCTATGCTAAGGGGCCGTGCGAAAGGTTTTTAGCTACTATTTATTACTGTAATCCCCTAATTATTTTATGAAAAATCTAGTGTTACTCGAGTTAGAAGAGTTTTGCTGAATATCCCATTTATCTCATTTTTATACGTGCGTAATAACAATAGTTTACTTTTCAGGTTATTATTTACAATCATAAATTATCACCACCTTTCGATTTTATAAAATCTTCTCTTAATTTTGAAAAACTAGGCGCAGCCTTGATTTATCATGCTAAAACAAGTCATTAAATTAAATTACGAATCAAGTGCAACGCTTCTCTTCACCCGACAATCACCCTTAGGCTACTACTAAAAAGCTAGATGCTCCCGTAAACTTTCAAATATTAATTATTAGTAATTGTTAACACTTTGCTCTGGTTTGTCAGCTATAATTTAATTAAAAACGTAAGTGTATATCCCTCTGATCATGGTCGAAAATTATTATATGCTTAAGCTACTCTGGCGAATTTTATTTACGACGTTTTGTGAAACGCCTTTTTTATTCATATCTAGTATGATGGTGAGCTCTGATTTGGTGAATCTCTCGATAAGCGCCTCTGAATCGTCTTCTTCGAAGTCGGTGGGTCAAGCAACTCCTAGCAATTCCTCACTTCGAGGCTTCCTTATGTGGGAACCGGAGCTTGTCTCGGTGAAAACGAATTTTTTTAAACAGCAATGTGGAGGTCGCAGTGAAACCATTCTTCCCTTCTCGACTCTCCTCCCCATCATGCACGCGGCTCGACATGATATCATCTCATGGTGAGCGGTATTAATAACTACTTAATTAGAATTCAGTAATCCTTTTATCGCGAATCTCATAATACCTATATTTTATCCTCCTAATGGTCAGGATTCTTACTTACCATACTAATGTGGTATACCTTTCTTTTTATTTTTATATCCTACATTCTCTAAGCTCCTTAACTTCTAATCCCTTTTTAACTTAGATCTAATATTTAGCTGTTGTAGGTGTAAAAGCTACTAACAACCAATTTACCTTTATCCTTCTTATTGGGAAGGGGGGAGGGATGAAGCGAGTTAAATAGAAAGAAAATACTAAATTAGACGATTTTTATCACCTTCTGTCATTTGTTACCCTTCCTGAAGAGTTCTGACCTCTCAACTGTAATATCTTGCATCCACTACCTGGGTTTTCCGAATAAGCGCCTGTGGGCCCTTATTATTATGGCGGTTATCTGGGGTTAAAAGTTAAAATGGAGTCTTACAGCTTTTCTCTGTTTGGGACTGAAGCTTGACTTTCCCCCTGTAGAATGAGCCATATTTGAAATTGCCGCCGAAATTAATCATGTCACTTAACAATGGGATCCTTATAAAACTGGAGCGTAACTGTTTCTATGCAGTCCTCATTTTGTGTTCGACTTCACTGTTTATCTGTTGGTGGTATTAAATAAATAGTTAATATTATTGAGAGTTTAAATGACGAACCGAGGATTTAGCACTGCGATTTCATTGGTGCTTGATGGGATATCAATATGTGCTTTTGCCTTCTAATTTAAATCAACTGTAGCTTAAAGCGGCAGCATTGTAGATAATTTTGCACATAGGTTATGAAACATCCAAATAATAAATGTAGATAAGGTTATCACAGGAGATTTACCACATATATATTTTTAGTGGGTGGATTGAAACGGGACTTGTAATAATGATTTTGCACTATTAAGTAAGTTCGTTTATTCGATTCATACATAATTCTTCTCTATTTTGTATATAAACAGCTTTTTCGCCATTAAAACACGATCTCAATGCATTTCGATGGTGATTTAATTCCATTATTCTAACCGAAGTGGAATATTTCACCGTCTTGGTGATCTAAACTATCAATATTGGTTCATCATTGGGAGTTGATATATTTGTAACCCGTAGAGGGGGATTACTTGATTTCCACCTTTTTCATAATTCGCTTTGTCATGTCCAAATATTCCAAAACTCACTTTTCAAGACACAAATAAGCGAACTGCTAGTTGTGTCTCTTTTGTTTGTGTACATTTTCTCAAAGCCATGAGTCGGTGGATGAGCTTACCTCTTTACGGCAAATTTATGTCAATTTTCGATCTGCGTTTAGTAATTATAGGTAAAAAAGTAGTCATTGTGAGCCTGGTAGAAGTTGCAGATGGATATACTCTACTTTATATTCATCTGATTTTTGGCTAAATGTGTTTGTTTTAATCTCAGTTTTGGCAATCGATGGAATGAGTGCCTATTCAAACTTGAACCTGAGACGTGGCTCTATTTTCGACGCCTCAACAAACGCGAAGTCTTCCTCATTTTCAGTGGGAAAAAGGTTGACGTCTCTGTAATTACGAGTGAGTACTCCCTATTTGCTAAAATTTTGAAATATCTCTCCTTTATGTCGTCTCTCTAAACCTGTTTTTTTTCCTATTTTCGTTAGGTGAATCAAAACGATTTGGTGTGGAAAATCTTGCCGGTCTCTTCCGTATTTGTTGAAATCATATAATCTCGTGTATATAGCAAATCAATTTACTGCTTTCTTTACTTAGATTTGTGTAATTTTCACCTCATTTCTCTCCATTCTTCATTCCAATGTTTATCCTCCTAAAGGCTGTATTCATGAAAAAATCTTATTTTGACAATAAATATTTGGTCTTTTTTTACCTGCGCACCTAACGTCACAGAGCTTAACGTGCTTTCATCGTCTTGTCCTTGTGCTTGTCTAACCGTTGTCACTTGTTGTCGGCTTTAATTTAAATTTAAAACTACCTATAAATTCGCTAAAGGTAGCATGCGAAATAGCGCATTGTTAAGAGCATTCGCCTAAAATAATCATTTATCGATTTGTCCTGGCTTAAAATATCGATGTCATCGTAGGCTAGTCAGTGTAACTATCACTTCATAAATATGTTCTCATCTAAATTGTCGATAAGCTTGAACTCTTCTTAAGGGTACAAGTGACTACCTTATTTTATCGGAAGTGTAATTTATCCGCCTTTGTCGTTGAGGCTTCATATACATGCGAAGCTTCCGAGATATCCTCGATTCGAATACCTCAAGGAAGATAATTTTGTTAGTTTTAATCAGATGGCCTCCGTCTTCCATCTTCTTGGATGCTGCTGTAGCCGCAATAGGCATCAGAAATCCAATGGTTGGGAGGAAAGTATGCGTCTCTATAGTGACGAAGAGGATGTTGGACAGGATAACACGATGATAATGCCAATGTACACCCTAAATCATCCCCAGCCACAAACAACCGTTCGACTTGATTTAGCCTCAGCCGGGCAATATGCGGTGATTCTGAAGAATTGCACGAGACTGTGTGGGAGTGGCGCAGCTAGAGCAAACGTTCCCATTGTACAGGACAAAGCCTACTTTGAAGTGAAGATTCAGACCAATGGTCTCTGGGGGATTGGATTGTGTCATTCCAAAGTGAGTTGCACTAATACTTTCGCATAAAGAGACGTGTGTTGGGAGAATTGCACTTTTAAACTTGGTCGATACTGGGAAGTTATAGTTACTTTTTATGCTATACTTCTGTTGTATTGAAATTAGTTACCAAAATTGAGTATTATTGTCTATAGCAGTAAGATTTTTAATTTTCTGGGAGTAGCTGATACCGGTTCAAATTGACAATGAGGGGGAATATAAAACCGCGTATTCGGACTCTGCAACATTTACTAGATGAGTAGCACACATTCTAAACTTTAGCACTTCATCCCCTGGCCGTGGGCAAATTTGTCTTTGCTCAAGTATGGTCGGTCTTTGTCGCTTCAATTCACTTCTCTTTCAATGCTTGAGAAGTCCGACTGTCTTACGTGTACCGGAGGCAAGAGAGATGAATTGATTTTAAGTTATTCGCGCTTCTTGCGTCGTGTTCACTCAAAGTGAACTCGGGAGCTAAAATGTGAACTAATTATGCAATTAATTCCCCCCTTATTTCATTATTTACGTGGTGACCACAATTCATCAGCGTTAATTTTATATTTTATTTATAATCAACAAGATGATCGGCTATTAATTTGCCGCATTTTTGGTAAACGTTATTTGTATTTCACATATAATCCTTATATTGCCACTCTAATATATTCGCGATTGTTTCCACCCCGTTGTAGTTTCAAGTTTGTATTTTTCTCGAACTATTTTGAAGTTCTTGACTTTTATGGCTAAGGTGAAAAGCAGTTGATTTCTCCATCACGTAGCTGTTTATATGTGAATAGATATTTTTTGTCAAGAATTTTGGTTATATTGCATAACTGCCAAAGTCAGAATAGTTGCAGAGGTTAACTTGTACAAACTCTGGTGAAGGTAGCTAAGCTAGTCATGCTGGCTGGTATAATTTTGCTAGAACATTGACTAAATGATGAAAAATGAATTAAGCCGATGTATTATTTACTTCGGGCATCGAATTACAACGTGGTAGTACTGGCAATACAGGAGATTAATAAGACAATGTCACTTTTTTCAATAATAAACCTTATTGAGTTGGTAAATGTCAGATAGCAAAGTTTTTGGCCATTTAAGAATAACGAATTATGATGAGCACCGATACGTCCTTTCGAGTTGTAGGTCACCACCCCCTCATTCCTCAATGAACTCTTTTTTCACTTCCGTCTTTTGATTGCGTTTTCACAACTGGAACTTATAACTTTTGGCGTACCTTGAGTAATAATAACTAGTGAGTCAATCACTCCATCAGCTGAATAATGGAGTCTAGCAAGGTGATAGGTCAACTTAGGGCTTGTGTTGGTAGATTCGAAAATACCTTATCACTTTACTTTCATCCGTTAGTTCTGGCTATCTTTTTAATAGAGCGAACAATAGATTTCTTGGATGGTTTTATCATTCAATTTTCGCTCTTTTTCTTATACTATTCTGAAGTTGTCTCAACCAACCTTTGTATCTGCGGTTTTACTAATATTAGATCTCCAAACCCGTTGGTTTTCTATTGGTCATTGTAACTGTCTAACATGGTTTATCAATGATGCTTTTTGCCCCTGAAATTCAGTGCTCATTTGTCTTTTTATATTCAGTCCTAATATCATTCTCCAGGCAGTATTCTGGACAGCTTCTAATCTTTTGCCATCCTTCATACGGCTGGCAACTGGAAGTAAGTCGATTAAAATGACTGTGGCGATAAATTCTGCCAATATCTTTGCTCCAGCCATGATCGATATCGCTTGTGTTCTAAGAATAGGTCGAAATTTCGCAATTTGTCTTTTAACTTTTACGATATTTCGTTCTGTAGCACCATCGTCTAGGTCTTTATAATGCGCTAGGGGGATTCAAAGAAGGCAAAATGGCTCTCTCGATTGATATGGTGATGATTTACTTGAATAATTGATTGATTCAGTAAATTTAAGCACTGAATTAGGCATTTCGTTCAAAATACAGCAATATGTTATCTTTATGTTGAATCAATTTTATGTTAGAAATAAAGTAAAGTGGTATTTGTAGATGTCCTTGGATCTATTTATTTAATTCATGTACTAATATCACGTAGACATTAATATTGCTTAATGGTAGTTTCATTAGCCAATTAGTTGACTTCGGCCTTCATAGAGGGGAGGAACATCAAAGTCACAAAAGCCGATAAGGAGCAGAAGAGTGATTCACAGATGTAAAAGAGAGACAGACGAAATGGTAGAGAAACAGATGAGGTGAGTGCTATGGAAGTGGTAGAATATGACATACAATGGGGTCATGGTAGTTGTAGTCAGAAGTCAACTACTGATTTATAGTCTTTTTTGCCGTATGAGTATACTTTGCCCAGGGTGCACCAGGTGGAGGTAAGTCTATCGCGCACCTCATGTCTTCTCGATACGAATTTACCTGTTCAGTGTATTGCTCTGAAATTAAATCATTTTATTGTAAAGTGTGCTCCAGTTATTGAATATTTACATTGATAAATTTCTTAGAACATGGTAGCCTGTTAGGTTTAAACTGATACACGATATTGCTTCCATGCTAGGCAAACATGAACTTAGCAAATGATATGCGAAGCCAGGAGACAGCTTGGGTTCTCTTCAATGACGGAAAAATATATCACAACTCCGAGGCTCTTATGGAGTTAGAGACGAGTATACCAGAAGAAGGTGACATTTTGGGGATCTACTACGACCACACAGAGCTCCGATTCACTGTTAATGGAGTGCCTGTCTTCTTCCAAGATCATGGAGTGCAATGTTACGGTGCTACTGGAATTCGGGGTACTGTGTATCCTCTCTTAGCTGTGGATCAAGGAGCTATCCTAGATATCCGTTTTACTGCATTCCAATATCCTCCGCGTGAAGGTGGTTACACAGAAATTCGCCTTGAACAAAATATTCTTTGATGACTGTATCCTATTACTCTACTTGCCCTCTTTCGATTTCCCCAGTGACATCCTGTGTATAATTATATGCTCTGTTTGTCTAAAGTGGTGCTTTAAGTATAGTTTTTTTACCATCTCCTTATTCTCTTTTAGTCGGGTGGTGGAGGAGAGGGGGGGGGGAAGACAGATCTAGAAATTTTTTATTGTAATACAGAAACTGACTGAAAATGAGTTCATTATTCGATTGTTTGTGCTATTCATACTGTAGTAGTTTCATTTTAATTATGATTTATTGGCATTTGGAGCTTCACAGAGGAATTGGTCCGCTTCCCTCTAATAAATAGTGGTTTTATTTTCCAAAATGAGAAATTTTAGACCAATGGATTTGATTTGGAGTTGGTATCTGATCTCTTATTCCAAATACGACAACTACCACTATGTCAGTGATTTTGCTTAAATTTTAATCGTTGAACAGTTTGGAAAGAGACAAAGAAAGTTGGTGTCATTAGCAGTTAGTACGTTTATTTATAATGATCCTACCATTGGTGCTAAAATTTTCTAGAAATTGCAGTCAGTTCATGCATTATGCTAATTCAATTGAAAAAAACTTCAATCCTGTTTTTTTATTTCAAAAACTATTGGCTCAACGTCAATTTCTGATAGGTGATTTGTGGCATCAATACATCTTATTGGAAATGAACTTAAGCGCATTTATTTTAAATCGTGATTATGTAAACACCAACGAATGTAGTTGTATAGCACTTAACACTCGGCATGTTTTCATCTATTTCTCATAGTCGACCATATTCTGGAATTTTTGCTTCCATGAACGGTTTATTTCATAATGCAAAGAATCTCAAGTTTTGACAAATAGTACTTTCCGTGTTTATATTCAACTTTTCTAATAAAAAATTACACAAACCCCTGAGCTTGCAAAGTATGCAATATTAGCACGGTTATACTAATCATTCTCATGCGCGCTCGAACATTCTGGAACATGCAGACGTCCTACTGAGAGCGCTAGGGAGCAAATAGGGTCACGAGTACTGCACCCAAAACCCTATTTAATGCCTAAGCTCTGAGCCAGTAAATTGAGGGGAAGGGGAGAGGAGTACTATATAATTATCATAACCTCAATAAATTCATTCTACGTCATACATTCTGTTTTCCCTAGATTAGCTAATTTCGGGAGACACTCCGTATTAATTGACTTTGTCATGAGGATTACTGAGGTTTAGCAATCCGCTGCAAACTAAACGTAGTTAAATTTGTTTCCGCGTCTGCAGTTGAAGTAGGTTAGAATAATAAGTTTCTTCCTTACAGATTTTCTGTTTTCATTACCCAAATAAAGCGGACTATTGACATCGGCAACGGTTGCGTAATGTAACATTACCTAAGGCCCTAGGATTTAGGCTTATCTAGCCCCCTAGATACAGTGATGGATAGACAACTGACCAGGATATTCTGGCGGATGAGTTATAAGGTACTAGTTAAGGGTATTTCTTCGGTGCTTGTTTGCAGTTTGCCTATTTACCTATCAACAATGTTGATCAAATATATAAAAATAAGTGCTGTTATTTAAATAGCGTATCTCTAAGATTAATTTTATCACAAAATGCGTAACTCTTACTCTCTAAAACGTTGGTGAACGAGAACCCGCTTCTACATTTCAAAGTCCTTCGTCCTCGCTAAATCGCCATGTTTAGATCTATTCATTGACGTACTTTCGCTTCATTTCGTCGAGTAGCCTCGATAAAAAAATCGATTGGCTGACAAATTTCCGTTGTGCACGTTCATTATATCTGGTGAAACTATTTCTAAGTCAACAGGATTGGGCAATTTTCGATTAGCAGTCTGCACTGCCACTCACTACATTTCATGCCACTTTTATTGAAGATCAGAGTTCAGACAATCTGACAACAATTGAGAGCGCCGTTAAAATAAAATATAACGCAAAGGCTACGCTAGCGGCTGGTAACGAGGCCTAATCAACCCATCTCCTGGCCCTTTGTTCTAGTTCCAATAATAAGGGTGAAGCAAATGGAAGCGAAAATGCTGAATTCTAAGTAGACTAAGACAAGATACTTTATTAGATCATAAATATAAATATATCGACCAAAATTATCCCTCCAGGTATTCAAATTCTAGATTTAACATTTTGATAATTTTCAAATAAACTTCGGAGATATGCCCCATGGAGGAAAAGGAAAATGGTTGGCGCCGGCAAAACTTTGATTTATGATAACTTCCGCAGAAAAGAAAGTGACACTACCGTGGCAGAGGCTTACTCAAAATAATCTTCAACCGGCTCCGACACATGGAACAATCAAACTATGCTTTCCCCAGTAGGGGCCTCAAATCGGGGGCTTTTATGGAACTGGCAGGACGATCAGTGACTTTGTCGATGGCGCCCAATATGTAGATAATAGTCTACTCATGTATTAGAGGGAAAATCGAGTCTGCATAACTCAAGGGGAGATCTTTGCCTCAAAGTAAAACGTTGCAAATTAAGAATAGACATTCTATCGACCAAAAAATAACAGGCCAGGAAATGGTTAGGACTTCACCGAATTTGTTTAAATTATTATATGGCAAAAGAAGGGGGAAGGATTGCAACAGAAAATTAATTGAAATCGCCAACTGATCGATCAATCAATCAATCAATCGAGGGCTAGTTAACTCATTCAGTGAATTCATAGATAAATAGTGAGGCAGAGACTGCAATTTATACGAGGGAATGGAGTAAATGAAAGTGTATTAAGAGAACACGGAGAAAAAATAAAGCGACGAGGTGGAAGGCCCGTCAATCACTCGAGGCAGATGAGTTGAGGAGTCGGTGCTTTTCTCGCTCCAGTGACTGCATCTACATCCGAGGACTCTGAACCGGATGTCTTGTGAACAGGTAATTTTTCAGTAGGAGGGTTGGGCATTTGATCCAACAAGGAGGTAATTGGAGGTGGCCCACCAGGCTGGATTAATTCTACTTGAGGCTGAGTAGGAGCCGGTATCGCTTGCATCATGTCTAAACACAAACAATTAAAATTCATGAGCACATATCATAAAAGCGACTTCTGAGCTTGGAAATTCATGTAAATAAGCGTTAGCAAACCTTCTTAACTATAGCATCTCTGAGTTTAATGTTTATAAGATACTAGGAAAGTGCAAATCACAGTCACTAAATTTAAGATACAGTTTCCCATGCATTGCAAGCTTAAAAGAAGTTACAAAACAGTTTAGAAAATCATTTTTAAACGGAATGGCACTATTGAGCTGTCTTTTTAATGCCGACACATGTCGACGAGTGATCTCTGACTGAACAGTCATGAATAGACGTGCATACCATTGGCATTTATGCACACACGCCTATCCGATATTTGCAGAATAATAGTGAGTAGATTGGTTTTGACATGCACTGACCTTCAAGAATGCATGAGTTTTGGATTAAAAGTTCGCAAGAAATTAAAAAGAATCCATTCAAATTTAACGCGATTTAAATAAATCAATTCATTATCTATACACATCAACACCAACATTGAAATCATCTATATTTTATTTCGTGGGGTGTGCGATAGACTTACCTCCACGTGGTGCACCCTGGGCAACGTATACTCATACGGCAAAAAAGTCTATTAACCGGGAGTTGACTTCAAACTACCAAGGCCCCCCCCACTTCCACAGTACTACATCACATATTTTTCTAAATTTTCAAACTTCATCTTTGAAACACTCTTCAGTTCCCCTCCTCTCGAC